CTCTAGGTTCTGTCTTTGGGAGCCTGGCTCTAAGGTTATCAAGCTAACTCTTTCTTACCTCTTACCCTTCCCAAATTGACCCTGGTTCTGATTTGTTATTCGTATGATTTTCTAGTTTTTCTTTTCCCTTTTTGAGTATTTGAAGCTTCATACTGAATATAGTAATCATAGTATTCATGCATAAAGAAAATCATAAAGTAATTGCATAAATCCATAAAGTAATCATAGTTTTCATGCATTAAAAAAACTAGTTTAGGCCGGGCGCTGTGGCTCACACTTGTAATCCCAGCACTTTTGGAGGCCAAGACAGGCGAATAATCTGAGGTCAGGAGTTCGAGACCAGCCTGGCCAATATGGCAAAACCTCTTCTCTACTAAAAATACAAAAAATTAGCCGTGTGGTGGTGGGCACTGTAATCCCAGCTATTCAGCAGGCTGAGGCAGGAGAATCACTTGAACCTGGGAGGCAGAGGTTGCAGTGAGCCGAGGTAATGCCGTTGCACTACAGCCTAGGCGACAAGAGTGAGACTCTTATCTCAAAACAACAACAACAACAAAAACTAGTTTCTCTCTAGTGTAAAAAATACTGTTAAGCCGGGAGTGGTGGCTCACGCCTGTAATCCCAGCACTTTGGGAAGGCGAGGCGGGCAGATCACAAGGTCAGGAGATCGAGACCATTCTGGCTAACACAGTGAAACCCCGTCTCTATTAAAAATACAAAAAATTAGCCAGGCGTGGTGACAGGCGCCTGTAGTCCCAGCTACTCAGGAGACTGAAGTAGGAGAATGGCGTGAACCCAGGAGGCAGAGCTTGCAGTGAGCCGAGATTGTGCCACTGCACTCCAGCCTGGGCTACAGAGCGAGACTCCATCTCAAAATATATATATATATATAGACTGTTAAAAAGTCTCCCTATTACAGATTCATAATTTATGAGTCATTAAATAATATTTTTAAGCCATGACATTTTTTCCAGCAGGAGTCTCTAAATCTGTTTTACCACTGTAAAACCCCAAGCAAAACTCTACTACATCAGCTGTGTCACTGTAAAACCTGCCTTAACTCACATCAGTATGAAATTAAGCAATGTGTGTGAAACTATTTTATAAACTGTAAAGGATTCCATACATGCATGTTGGCAATTATTAATGTCTTCTCTAGGTGTGGCTTTGAAACAGATGCAGATTCTTTCTGCTACAAAAAACATAGTTACAAATGTTTTGTAACAAGGAGAGACACAAATATCTTCATGGACATGGATTGCTATGAGTTTTTGATTGACTAATACTTGAGCCACCACTTCAGTGATGGTATAATTTATCAAACAGTATTGAGAAACAGAAACTACTGGGGATGTTTTAAGGAGAAAAAGTACTTAATAGAGAAATTAGGGTTTTACATAATCTTAAGAAAAGATGAAGGTGCAGATCTTAGCCAGGCCTCCAGAGTACCACAAACCAACTTGCAGGAAGAGCTGTAACCACTGCCCCAATTGGCACAATGGGTAATGAGGATATTAAATTTAAGAACACACTGCTATAGCAATGATCCTGGGCTTAGAAAGCTGCCACCACAATTGCCTAGACATGGGAAGTCTGGCCCCCACTGCAAAAGCAGTGAAGCAGAATTTTGGGACTGGCATCTCCATGACTTTGCTTGCCACCAGAGAACAACCAAAGTAGGGAGATGGCTGGCCTTATTTCTGCCTATTTATTTTATTTTATTTTTTGAGACAGACTCTTGTCTGTCGCCCAGGCTGGAGTGCAGTTGTGTGATCTTGGCTCACTGCAACCTCCACCTCCCAGCTTCAAACAATTCTCCTGCCTCAGCCTTCTGAGTAGCTGAGATTATAGGCACCCGCCACTGCACCCAGCCAATTTTCTTATTTTTAGTAGAGGTGGGTTTTTGCCATGTTGACCAGGCTGGTCTCGAACTCCTGACTTCAGGTGATGTGCCTGCCTCAGCTTCCCAAAGTGTTGGGATTATAGGCGTGAGCCACCGTGCCTGGCCCATTTGTGCCTTTTTTTTTTTTTTTTTTTTTTGAGATGGAGTCTTACTCTGTTGCCCAGACCAGAGTGCAATGGTGGCATCTTGGCTCATTGCAACCTCTGACTTCCAGTTTCAAGCAATTCTCCTGCTTCAGCCTCCCGAGTAGCTGGGACTACAGCTGTGCAGCACCATGCCTGCCTAACTTTTGTTTCTGTTTTGTTTTTTTGAGATAGAGTCTTGCTCTGTCACCCAGGCTGGAGTGTAGTGGTATGATCTGGGCTTACTACAACCTCCGCCTCCCGGGTTCAAGCAATTCTCCTGCCTCAGCCTCCTAAGTAGCTGGGACTACAGGCACGCACCAACACACCCAGCTAATTTTTTTGTATTTTTAACAGAGATGGGGTTTCACCATGTTGGCCAGGCTGGTCTCGAACTCCTGACCTCGTGATCTGCCCGCCTCAGCCTTCCAAAGTGCTGGGATTACAGGCATGAGCCACCATGCCCAGACAATTTTTGTATTTTTAGTAGAGACAGTTTCGCCATGTTGGCCAGGCTGGTCTTGAACTCCTGACCTCGGGTGATCCACCTGCCTTGGCCTCCCGAAGTGCTAGGATTACAGGCGCAAGCCACCGTGCTCAACCCATTTTGGCCTTTTAAAGCTCATGTGAGCACTTAATTTGTAACCAGAATCCTACTTGTAAAATAATCTAAGACATGTAGCTTTTAGCTTTGTAGCCTCTATAATATTAATGGCACAGTGGGAGTGGATGCTGAGTGCCACTTAAACATGTTCCATCTCAGTGTCTTCACAGCTGGAAGGTGTCAACATTGTTTCAAGGTGGGCAATTGATTTACTTCTCACTTTTCATAAACTAAAAGTAGAATAAAGGCTATTCCTCTAAAATTGCTATCTTACCTGTCACTCCCTTGCATTCTCACCTACCTTCTTGAGTGGAGGGGAAGAGGGCATGGAGTGATAGCTGATGTGCCAGGAATTCTCCATACTCAGTCCGTCTTTCTTGTGCCATGTCGCAGCATCAGGATTTGCTAATGGGAGGATACTGCCCTTATGTGCATCGTTAGCCATGCACACTAAAGTCTTACACCTACACACAGGTCAGTATTCGGGCTTAGAGACCAACAGGGAAAAATTGCAGTTCTCATTGGTTGAACTTTATTGTTCACAGTTTTAAAACACAAAATTGAGAGGAACTCTAGAAAAAATGTGTCATTCTATTAATAATTGTTGCTGGTAGTTTAAAAATTCTGGTTCCTTTTCAAATTCCTATATACCCCCCCCCTTTTTTTTTTTTAATACCTTGATCTTAGCCAAAACACCGAGAAGCAATCTTTTTTTTTTTTTTTTTTTTTTTAACCTATGGCTTCTCACTGAGATTGTCAGCTGTTGGTAAGTTTTGGTTTTTGGTTTTCTGTGTTTGTATTTACATGTATGAAATCTAGATTGAGTATCCCTTATCCACAATGCTTGAGACTAGAAGTGTTTTAGATTTGGGGTTTTATAGGATTTGTGAATATTTGCACTATACTTGCCAGTTAAGCATTCCAAATCCAAAATCTCAAATCTGAAGTGCTGCACTGAGCACCTCCTTTGAGTATCATGTTGATGCTCAAAAAGTTTCTGATTTTGGAGCATTTCGATTTCAGATTTTCGGATTTGGGATGCCTGACCTGTAATTTCAGATTTACATAAAAGCAGAAATAGTACACAGAGCGCCTTATATCCTTCACTCAGATTCCCCAATTGTTGGCCTTTCTGAACCATTTGGGAATAATACGCAGATATGATTTTCCATTATGTCTCAGTTGTTCAGTGTGTATTTTCTGAGTACAAGAATATATTCCTACATATTTACATCATAACTATCATGTTTAAACATTTTAAAAGTGGGGATTTGAATTACATTGTTTTTCCTTTTGAAAAAATTACAGAGGAGCTGAATGCAATCAATATTACTTAAAATCTGATAATGTGTGTTAAATAGTAGTTTTCATTTATCAAGTGTTCAGTAAATGCTTACTATGTTGTAACAGCACGGTTATCAGCACTGTTGAAATAGATGAACAAGTTAACATTTGCACTCTCATTAGCTTACACGCCATAAAGAGGGAAATAAGGAGAACACCAGATGGTAAGTTTATGCTGAGAATTAAAACGAAGTGATGAAATAATGAGAATGTCAGATGGCTACTTTTGGTGGGATGGTCAGGAAAGGCATCTCTGGGGAGATTGTTAAGCTCAGACCTGAATCAAAAGAATGAGCCAGCCATGGAAACATTATGTTAACTCACATGGTAGTTTGAGATGCTTTATCTGATCAAAGGTACTTATTTTCAGTGACTTTCAACAATATTAAGGGTCTATAAACCAACACTCATTTGCATAAGAATAGCTACCAGTGAATCTTTTTGTATGATAGGTTTGTTTGTTTGTGTGTTTGTTTGTTTTTTGAGACAGAGTCTTGCTCTGTCACCCAGGCTGGAGTGCAGTGGCGCCATCTTGGCTCACTGCAATCTCTACCTTCCCAGTTCAAGTGATTCTCCTGCCTCAGCCTCCCAAAGTAGCTGGGATTACAGGTGCCTGCCACCACACCTGGCTAATTTTTGTATTTTTAGTAGAGATGGGGTTTCACTGTGTTGGCCAGGCTGGTGTCAAACTCCTGACCTCAGGCCATCCACCTGCCTCGGCCTCCCAAAGTGCTGGGATTACAGGTGTGAGCCACCATGCCTGGCCATGATAGGTTATTTTGTGATGAAAATACCTACCTCTTAATTTGTCTGATAAATTTAAATTTTATGTCTAGGTTTCCTAGGATCAACACTTCTATATTTTAAAGTAATCTATATCAGACTAACTGCTCTTGCATTCTTTTAATGTCAGTGACTACTTTGATTTGTGGAACAGTGTATTTTCCACATGAATAGTTTTTCTCATGGTTTATTTATTCTTTTAAGTTTTGTTTTTTAAATATACATTCACTTTTGAATGTTTCAGACAGCAGCAACAGCAGAAGCAGCAGCAGCAGCAGCAGCAGGGGGACCTATCAGGACAGAGTTCACATCCATGTGAAAGGCCAACCACCAGTTCAGGAGCACTTGGGAGTGATCTAGGTAAGGCCTGCTTCATCATGTTCGCTACCTTCACACTTTTATCTGACATATGGGCTCCATCTGATTTTTGCTTTACATTATTCTTCATCCCCTCTTTAATCATATTAAGACTCTTAAGTAAATTTTTAATCTACTAAATTTCCCTGGATTAAGGAGCAGTTACCAAAAAAAAAAAAAAAAAAAAGCTAGACGTGGTGGCTCACACCTGTAATCCCAGCACTTTGGGAAACCAAGGCAGGAGAGGATTGCTAGAACATTTAATGACTACTTTAACATAATAATTTAAACTTCACAGTAATTTGTACAGTCTCCAAAAATTCCTTAGAAATCATGATTTATTTTTTATTTTTTATTTTTTATTTTTTGAGACGGAGTCTCGCTCTGTCACCCAGGCTGGAGTGCAGTGGCGCAATCTCAGCTCACTGCAAGCTCCGCTTCCCAGGTTCACGCCATTCTCCTGCCTCAGCCTCCCAAGTAGCTGGGACTACAGGTGCCTGCCACCTCAACTGGCTAATTTTTTGTATTTTTAGTAGAGACAGGGTTTCACTGTGTTAGCCATGATTGTCTCAATCTCCTGACCTCATGATCTTGGCCTCACAAAGTGCTGGGATTACAGGTGTGAGCCACTGTGCCCGGCCAGAAATCATGAATATTAGTAGGTGAAAAATAAATACATTTTACCACCCAGAAAATGAAAAATACTTGAGTATAATCTAAATAACAATGGGAAGTGCAGAGTTACTTTCCAGGTCTCGGTTTAAATATGTCTTAAAGTTTGGCCAATTAGTAGTAGAAGTTGAGAGAAAAAGTAACTGTATCTGACAAAGAAATTATAAGCAGAATATATAAAGAACTCTTAAAACTGAACAATAAGAGAGCAACTCAATAAAAAGGTGAAGAATTTGAAAAGGTACTTCACCAAATAAGACATAGGGATGACAAGCCCATGAAAAGACTCTCAGCATCACTAGTCACAGGGAGATGCACAATAAAACCACAATGAGATACCACGGCACCCCTGTAGGTGTGGCTTAATGAGGAAATAAAACTGACAATACCAAGTGTTGACAAGGATCCAGGCAGCTGAGACTCATACACTGTTAATGGGAATGTAAAAGTGTACAGCTTTGGGAAACAGTTTGGCATTTTTTTGATAAATGTATACTTAGCCATATGATCCAGCCATCCTAATCATATATATATAACCAAGAGAAAAGAAAACTTAGGTTCACATAAAAACTTGTATCAAATGCTTATAGCTGGCCAGGCATGGTGGCCCATGCCTATTATCCCAGCACTTTGGGAGGCCGAAGTTGGTGGATCACCTGAGGTGAAGAGTTCAAGACCAGCCTGGCCAACATGGCAAAACCCCGTCTTCTACTTCAAATACAAAAATTAGCCAGGCATGATGGCGGGCACCTGTAGTCCCAGCTCTTCAGGAGGCTGAGGCAGGAGAATCACATGAACCCGGGAGGCGGAAGTTTCAGTGAGCCGAGATCGTGCCACTATACTCCAGCCTGGGTGACAGAGCAAGACTGTCTCAAAAAAAGAGGGCTGGACACAGTGACTTACGCCTGTTATCCCCGCACTTTGGGAGGCCGAGGCTGGTGGATCACCTGAGGTCAGGAGTTCAAGACCAGCATGGTCTTGGTCAACATGGTGAAACCCCATCTCTGCTAAAAATACAAAAATTTTCTGGGTGTGATAGTGGGCACGTGTAATCCCAGGAGGTTGAGGCAGGAGAATCACTTGAACCCGGGAGGCAGAGGTTGCAGTGAGCCAAGATCATACCACTGCACTTCAGCCTGGGCGACAAGACCGAAACTCCATCTCAAAAAAAACAAAAAAGGATTATAGCATCTTTATTCATAATTGCCCAAAATTATAAACTGCCTAAATGTAGACCTTCATTTAGTTAACGAATACACAAACTGTGGTATATCCAAACAATTGAATAATAAAAGGGATGAACTGGTACTTTTTTCTATTCCTCCTCTTAAGTACAGCCAAAACACCTCAACATTTGTATAAAACATAAGCTGGGCCAGGCGCGGTGGCTCACACATGTAATCCCAGCACTTTGGGAGGCTGAGGTGGGCAGATCACCTGAGGTCGGGAGTTCAAGACCAGCCTGACCAATGTGCAGAAACCCTGTCTCTACTAAAAATACAAAATTAGTTGGGCATGGTGGCGCATGCCTGTAATCCCAGCTACTTGGGAGGCTGAGGCAGGAGAATTGCTCGATCCCGGGAAGCAGAGGTCGCGCTGAGCTGAGATCGCACCATTGCACTCTAGCCTGGGCAACAAGAGCAAAACTGCGTCTCAAAAAGAAAAAAACATGAGCTGAATCTCAAAGGCAGGGAGAAGACAGACCTTGGAACCAGAGGAGCAGCGTGGTGGGGAGTGGCCTGGATTTTCTTTTTGCCTCATTTATCCTGGGCTTGGTGCTGGAGAAGCTGTGGGCTCAGACCAAGAGAAAACCCCATAAAAAGCCTGCTCTCTTTAGCCAAAAGAGGCAGCCTAGCAAGACAAAAACTTTTAGATAATAAGCACTTGACTATAGTCAAACACCACAGAATAAACTGGCCCCAAACCCTGTCAGCAAAGGCCGAGTGGAAGTCAAGATATGTACCGCAACCTGGAAGTCATAAGGTACACTTCTCCCCTTTCCCAGCCAACATGGTGTCAGAGAAGGCTGCCTGGGGAGCTGGGGTTTTCCTTCCCTCCAGGAGGTGATAACACTCCTTTGCCACGGTGTCAGTGGTCACAGGGAGCCTGAACGTCCACCTAATAATACATAGGCATCTCTCTGGCTCCTATGGGGGTAATGTCAGAGAAGAGGCCTAGTAGAGAATCCAGACTGTTGCTGGCATCCAGCAGTAACAAGGACACCTCCACAATGTCTGTGGAGGCCACGTGGGGATCAGTAACAAGGCATTCCTCTCCCTCCCAGTCAGATGTCAGTGGAAGACTAGGGGACTAGAACTCCCGTGTGCATTCAGCAGTAATGCCCATGACCACCACTCTGTGTTATCACAGGCCTTGAAGAAGCCTGAACTTTCACTCCCCTCTGGTTGTAGTGAGGTGGCACTCCCTTTTTCCTGCTGCCAGTGCTGTGTCAGAGGAGGCTTGCCAAATTGGAAGATGTAAATAAGATTCACATTCTCATAACGTAATACCCCAAATTTTCAAGATTCAATTGAAAATCACTAAGCCGGGCACGGTGGCTCACACCTATAATCCCAGCACTTTGGGAGGCCGAGGTGGGCTGAACACTTAAGGTCAGGAGTTCAAGACCAGATTGGCCAACATGGTGAAACCCCATCTCTACTAAAAATACAAAAATTAGCCAGGCATGGTGGCGCATGCCTGTAATCTCAGTTACTGGGGAGGCGGAGGCAGGAGAATCACTGAAACCTGGGAGACAGAGGCTGCAGTGAGCCAAGATTGCGCCACTGCACTCCAGCCTGGGCAATAGAGCAAGACTCCATCTAAATTTATGTCATGGAGTCCCAGAAGGAGAGGAGAAAGAGGGTGGGGCTGAAAAAATATTGGAGGAAGAAGTCATGGCTGAAAAATTCCCAAATTTGGCAAAAGTCAGAAACCTATGGATTGAAAAAGCTGAATGAAGTTCAAATATGATAAACTCAAAGAAATTCACAGAGACATATCATAGTCAGATTTCTGAACACTGCAGACAAAAAATGAAGATCTTGAAATTAGCAAGAAACGACCTTACCTACAGCAATTTGAATGACAGCAGATTTCCCATCAGAGATCATAAAGGCCAGAAGGAAGGGATACATACAACAATTTTTCTAGTGCTGAAAGAAAATATCTCTAGGCTGGGCACGGTGGTTCACACCTGTAATCCCAGCACTTTTGGAGGCTGAAGTGAGAGGATCACCTGAAGTCAGGAGTTCGAGACCAGCCTGGCCAACATGGGGAAACCCTGTCTCTACTAAAAATACAAAATTTAGCTGGGTGTGGTGGCACATGCCTGTAATCCTAGCTACTTGGGAGGCCGAGGCAGGGGAATTGCTTGAACCTGGGAGGCGAAGGTTGCAGTGAGCCAAGGTTGGGCCACTGCACTCCAGCCTGGGCAGTTGAGTGAGACTCCGTCTCAAAAAAAAAAAAAAAAAATTTAGCCGGGCTTGTTGGTGGGCACCTGTAGTCCCAGCAATCAGGAGGCTGAGGCAGGAGAATTGCTTGAACTCGGGAAGTGGAGGTTGCAGTGAGCCAAGCTTGTGCCACTGTACTCCAGCCTGAGTGACAGAGCGAGACCTCGTCTAAAAAAACAAAAACAAGAAAACAACTCTAAACCCAGAGTTACACATCCAGAGAAATATCCTTCAGGAGTGAAGGGAAAATTAACAATTTTTCTTCAGCAGACCTACCCTAAAAGAATGGCTAAAGGAATTTCTCTAAACCAAAAAGAAATGATAAAAGAAGTAATTTTGGAACATCAGGAAGGAAGAAAGAACAATAAAAAGAGTAAAATATGGGTAAACACATAGACTTTACCCTCCTTTTGAATTTTCTAAATTGATGGTTGAAGCAAGAATTATAGCACTGATTTGTTTTTCAGTATATATACTGGAAATATTTAAGGCAATTATGTTACAAATGAAGGAGGGTCAAAGTATATAAAGGGAGGTAACCTTTCTATATTTCTTTTGAATTGATGCAGGCACTTTGGAAAGTAATTTCACTATTTGTTTAAAAACGTAACATACCCTGACCATATGACATAGCATCTATACTCCTGGGCATTTGTCCCAGAAAAACAGAAATTTATTTATTTAATTAAAAATTTTTTTTTTCAGTATTACACTCCGTAAGTGCTGTAATTAGCACTTAGAGAGGCCAAGGCAGGCAGATTGCTTGAGCCCAGGAGTTCAAGACCAGCCTGGGCAATGCTGCACAATCAAAAAAGAAAAACAGACATTTAGAAAACTATTTTAACTGTCTTTAATTGCTGAATGCCTCTTTGGCTAATATTTGTAAGATCCTTCTCCTCCTCCTCCTCCTCCTCCTCCTCCCTCCCTCCCTCCCTCCTCCTCCCTCCCTCCTTCTTCTTCCTTCTTCTGGCAGAGTCTCACTCTGTCACCCAGGCTGGAGTGCAGTGGCGTGATCTCGGCTTACTGCAACCTCTGCCTCCTGAGTTCAAGCGAATCTCCTGCCTCAGCCTCCCAAGTAGCTGGGACTACAGGCGTGTGCCACCATGACTGGCTAATTTTTTGTATTTTCAGTAGAGATGGGGTTTCACCATGTTGGTCAGGCAGGTCTCGAACTCCTGACCTCGTGATCCACCCGCCTCAGTTTCCCAAAGTCCTGGGATTACAGGTGTGAGCCACTGCGCCCAGCCTGGAAGATCATTATTTAGACCTACAACTGATGCATTGTTCCACTGACACAATTGCCCAGGCTGGTCTTGAACTCCTGGGCTCAAGCAGTCTGCCTGCCTTGGCCTCCCAAGTGCTAGTATTACAGGCTTGAGCCACTGTGCCCAGCCAAAAATAGAAATTTATATTCTCACAAAAACATGTACATGAATGTTTATAGCAGCTTTACTTGTAATAATCAAAAACTGGAAATGACCAAAATGTCCTACAGTGAAACAAACTGTAGTACATCCATAGCATGTAATACTCTACTGTCAGGATTAAAAAGAAACCAACTGTTGGCACAGGCAGCACCGTGGCTGGATCTCAGGGGCATTATGCTGAGTGCAAAAAAGCCTCAAAGGGTCTTATACTGTATGATTCCATTTGTTCAACGTTCTAAAAATGACAGCTGTATAGAGATAGAGAACATATTAGTGGTTGCCGCTAGTTAGAGAAAGTGGGTGAAAGAGAGGTGGGTGTGAATATAAATTGATAGGAGGGAGATCTTTGTGGTATTATAACACTTCTATGTCTTGATTGTAGTGCTCATGGTTACATGAATACACATGTGTGATAAAATGCCATGTAGAACTACATATAACATTGTGCCAATGTCACTATCTAGGTTTTAGTTTGATCTTTAGTTACGTAAGATGTAACTGTTGGGTGAAATTGGGCAAAAGAATACCCGAAACCTCTCTGAAATATCTTTGCAACTTCCTTTGAATTGACAATTATTTCAAAATAGAAAGTTGGGTTTTTGTTGTGTATATCAACATGAGTATATCAACATGAATTGTTGATATACACAACATGAGTATATCACAACATGAGTATATCAACATGAACTGCTGATATTGTTGATATACACAACAAATTGGTGATATACACAACAAATCCCAAATGCATTACACTAAGTGAAAGAAGCCATATTCAAAAGGCTACATATCTACTGATGCCTTTTATATGACATGCAGGAAAAGATGAAACTGTTGGACAGAGAATATACTGTTGGCTAGCTGGGATTAGGAATTGGGGATTGACCACAAAGGGGCAGCATGAGGGAGTTTTCTGGGGCAATGGAATGGTTGTATATCTTGACAGTGTATTTGTCAAAATATATAGAACTATAAAAGTAAGTTTTGCTTTATATGCATTAAATCAAAAAAAGAAACTCGTGCTCAAATAGAAATACATTTTCTGAGAGCTTACCTTTTGATGACTTTGAGAATTTTCTGGAAATTTTAAAGAAATGTGGTTTTGTTTCCCAACAGGTGATGCTATGGGTGAAGAAGACATGCTTCAGGCAGCTGTGACCATGTCTTTAGAAACTGTCAGAAATGATTTGAAAACAGAAGGAAAAAAATAATACCTTTAAAAAATAATTGAGATATTCATACTTTCCAACATTATTCTGTGTGATTACAGCATAGGGTCCACTTTGGTAATGTGTCAAAGAGATGAGGAAATAAGACTTTTAGTGGTTTGCAAACAAAATGATGGGCAAGTGGAACAATGCGTCAGTTGTAGGACTAAATAATGATCTTCCAAATATTAGCCAAAGAGGCATTCAGCAATTAAAGACATATAAAATAGTTTTCTAAATGTTTCTTTTTCTTTTTTGAGTGTGCAATATCTAACATGTCTAAAATTAGGGGCATTTTTCTTGGATCTTTTTGCAGACCAGCTAATTAGCTCTTGCCTCAGGCTTTTTCCAGTTTTCTTTTTCTCTCTTGTAGATAATTTGGCTCACATCATCTAATAGTGACTTTCATTTCTTATTAACCAAATTAACCTTTCAGGAAAGTATCTCTAGTCTGTGTTGATAATAGTAATGGTTCTAGAAGGATAAACAGTCCTCCCTTCAACTGTATACTGTGTGCTCCAGTGTTTTCTTGTGTTATTTTCTCTGATCACAACTTTTCTGCGACCTGGTTTTCATTATTTTCCCACAATTCTTTTGAAAGATGGTAATCTTTTCTGAGGTCTAGCATTTTAAGTCCTGTGATGGGATCATTATTTCATGACTGGTGCATTCCTAAACTCTGAAATCAGCCCTGCGCAAGTACTTGAGAATAAATGAGCGTTTTTTAAAATGTGTGAGCATGTGCTTTCCCAGATGCTTTCCCAGATGCTTTATGAATATCTTTTCACTTACATCAAAACCTTACAGCTTTGTTGCAACCCCTTCTTCCTGCGCCTTATTTTTTCCTTCTCCAATTGAGAAAACTAGGAGAAGCATAGTATGCAGGCAAGTCTCCTTCTGTTAGAAGACTAAACATACGTACCCACTATGAATGTATAATACATGAAATTTGGCCTTCAATTTTAATAGCAGTTTTATTTTATTTTTTTCTCCTATGACTGGAGCTTTCTGTTCTCTTTACAGTTGAGTCATGGAATATAGGTGTCTACTTCACATCTTTTAGTAGGTATAGCTTGTCAAAGATGGTGATCTGGAACATGAAAATAATTAATGAAAATGTTTAAATTTATACTGTGATTTGGCACTTGCATCATGTTTAGATAGCTTAAGAACTGTAGAAGTCACAGTACTTAGTGGGTCTGTAAATAAGAAAGTCCATAGTTTTGATAAATATTCTCTTTAACTGAGATGTATAGAGAGTTTCTTGCTGGGTCAATAGGATAGTACCATTTTGGTGAAAACCGTGTCTCTCTGAATTTGATGTTTTAGTTTCTGTGTTCCCCATCCCTCATTCTCCAGCCCCTTTTGAAGCTCTTTTGAATGTTGAATTGTTCATAAGCTAAAATCCAAGAAATTTCAGCTGACAACTTAGAAAATTAAAGTATGGTATATTGCCCTACTGGTGTGTGGCTGCACACATTTCATCAGGGAAAGTTTTTTGATCTAGGATTTATTGCTAACTGAAAAGAGAAGAAAAAATATCTTTTATTTATGATTATGAAATAGCTTTTTCTTGGATATAACAGATTTTTTAAGTCATTATTTTGTGCCAAAGTTTTCTGAAGTTTCCCTTACACAAAAGGATAGTTTTATTTTAAAATCTAAAGTTTTCTTTTAATAATTAAAAATGTTTCAGAAGAATTATAAAACTTTAAAACTATAAGAGATGTTAGAGTTTAGTACTACTCCCTCAAGATTTAAAAAGCTAAATATTTTAAGACTGAACATTTATGTTATTACAGGTGTGTTAGTCATATTTTCCATGGATATTTGTTCATTACCTTTTTCCATTGAAAAGTTACGTTAAACTTTTCATACACTTGAATTGATGAGCTACCTAATATAAAAATGAGAAAACCAATATGCATTTAAAAATTTTAATTTTAGCGTTTATAAAGTTCATATATACCCTAGTTAAAGCACTTAAGAAAATACGGCATGTTTGACTTTTATTTGCTAGAGAGGTTTTTTTGGTTGTTTTTGTTTTTGCTTTTTTTGAGACGGAGTCTCGCTCTGTTGCCCAGGCTGGAGTGCAGTGGCGTGATCTCGGCTCATTACAACTTCCACCTCCTGGGTTCAAGCGATTCTTCTGCCTCAGCCTCCAGAGTAGCTGGGATTACAGGCGCCCACCACCATACCCAGCTGATTTTTGTATTTTTGGTAGAGACATGGTTTCATCATGTTTGGCCAGGCTGGTCTCGAACTCCAGACCTCAGGTGGTCTGCCTGCCTTGGCCTCCCAAAATGTTGGGATTACAGGCATGAGCCACCGCGCCTGGCCAGCTGGAGAGTTTTTAAAGCAGAGGTGAGCACACACTGGATGCGTTTGAATGTGTTTGTGTAGTTTGTTGTGAAATTGTTACATTTAGCAGGCAGATCCAGAATCACTAGTGAACTGCCATCTTGGTGGGGTTGGCTTAAATGTAATTGAATGTTTAGATTCTATTTCTTAATTGATTGGCCAGTATGAAAATATGCCAGTGCAAGTAACCATAGTATCACAAAAGTTAAAAGTTATGCAAAGCTATAGCTTATATATCAGGTACTGCCATTTACTGTAAACCACCTGCAAGAAAGTCAGGAACAACTAAATTCACAAGAACTGTCCTGCTAAGAACTGTATTAAAGATTTCCATTCTGTTTTACTAATTGGGAACATCTTAATGTTTAATATTTAAACTATTGGTATCATTTTTCTAATGTATAATTTGTATTACTGGGATCAAGTATGTACAGTGGTGATGCTAGTAGAAGTTTAAATAAGCCTTGGAAATACCACTTTCATATTTTCAGATGTCATGGATTTAATGAGTAATTTATGTTTTAAAAATTCAGAATAGTTAATCTCTGATCTAAAACCATCAATATATGTTTTTTACAATAATCAACATATAAATATTTCAGTAATATAAACTGTTTGAAAAGGCTGCTGCAGGTAAACTCTATACTAAGATCTTGGCCAAATAATTTACAATTCACAGAATATTTTGTTTAAGGAGGTGCTTTGTTTTTGTCCTTAAAACTTGATTTTTCTTAAGGCTTTATTCATGATGCCAAAGCCAATGAGGAAAAAAACTCAAAACCAGTTGAGTATCATTATAGACAAAACTACCAGTAGTCCATATTGTTTCATTTAATATTAAGTTGAATAAATTTTATTCCAGTCAGAGCCTAAATCACATTTTGAATGTCTGAATTTTTGATACTATTTTTGAAATCATGCTAGTGCCGGCCGGGCGTGGTAGCTCACACCTGTAATCCCAGCATTTTGAGAGGCCAAGGTGGGTAGATCACAAGGTCAGGAGTTCAAGACCAGCCTGGCCAAGATGGTGAAACCCCGTCTGTAGTAAAAACTACAAAAATTAGCTGGGCGCGGTGGCAAGGTGCCTGTAATCCCAGCTACTTGGGAGGCTGAGGCAGGAGAATCACTTGAACCTGGGTGGCAGAGGTTACAGTGAGCCGAGATGGTGCCATTGCGCTCCAGCCTGGGCGACAGAGTGAGACTCCATCTCAAAAAAAAAAAAAAAAAAATCATGCTAGTGCCAAGAGCTACGAAATTCTTAAAACTCTTAAAACTGGCCCATTGGACTTGTACAAATACAAAATAGATTCAATGCATAATCAAAATATTTTAAAATCTTAAGTAGAAAAATAAATCTTGATGTTTTAAATTTTTAGGAGGATTCGATAATTAATATTGATGACCTCCAGGCTGGGCACAATGGCTCACGCCTATAATCCCAGCAATTCAGGAGGCTGAGGCAGGCAGATCACTTCAGGGCAGGAGTTCAAGACCAGTCTGGGCAACATGGTGAAACTTCGTCTCTACTAAAACTACAAAAATTAGCTGGGCGTGGTGGCACACACCTGTAATCCCAGCTACTCAGGAGACTAAGAATCGCTTGAACCTGGGAGGCAGAGGTTGCAGAGAGCCGAGGGCTCACCACTGCATTCCAGCCTGGCGCAATAGAGTGAGACTCTGTCTCCGAAAAAAAAATATATATGTATATGTGTATATATATATGTGTGTGTGTGTGTGTCTCTACTAAAAATATAAAAATTAGCTGGGTGTGGTGGCGGGCACCTGTAATCCCAGCTACTTGGGAGGCTGAGGCAGGAGAATTGTTTGAACCCAGGAAGCGGAGGTTGCCGTGAGCTGAGATTGTGCCATTGCACTCCAGCCTGGGCAATGAGTGAAACTCTTGTCTTAAAGGTTTTTTTTTTTCCTTGGGCTACTATTTTCTCTTTCTTTCTTTCTTTTCTTTCTTCCTTTCTTTCCTTTCTTTTCCTTTGTTTGTTTGTTTGTTTTTAGTAGAGACGGGGTTTCACCATGTTAGTCAGGCTGGTCTCAAACTCCTGACCTCAGGTGATCCGCCTGCCTCAGCCTCCCAAAGTGCTGGGATTACAGGTGCAGGCCACCATGCCTGGCCTTGGGCTACTGTTTTCAAAGTGAATTGTTTGTTGTATCGAGTCCTTAACAAGTATAGACATATGATATATGTGATCCTAATTAAGAAATACCAGATTGGATCAACTAATCATGTCAGCAATGTAAATAACTTTTTATTTTTCATATTCAAAATAAAAACTTTCTTTTATTCCTGGTCCCTTTATAACCAGCATTTTTTGCTTTGAAAAATGAGCTGGCTTTGTAGTTTTTTAAAGTTTTAAACATAAGAAAAATGTCTTTTGTTCTATTTGCTTTCATGAATGAAGATCATTGACATGGTAAATTCTAGAATTTTGATTTTGTTTTTTAATTTGAAGAAAACCTTTGCTATTTTTATTTTTTCCAAATGGTCTGACATTTTAAGAATGAATGCTAATAACTTAACTTCTAAATTTATCGTCATTGGCATGTTTAATAGCATATCAAAAAACATTTTAAGCTGGTGGATGCATAGACAAAGCAATGGGAAACTAGTGAAATACACACGGATGTTCCTGAGGCACTTAGGAAGCTCTCAGTTGTCTCTTACATAGTTCAAGGAATGTTTTCTGAATTTTTTTAATGCTTTTTTTTTTTGAAAGACAAAAACATACATTTAAATGTGATTATCTAATTTTTACAACACTGGGCTATTAGGAATAACTTTTTAAAAATTACTGTTCTGTATAAATAAAATATTTGAAATTCAAGTGCAGAAAATATCTGAAACAAAAAGCATTGTTGTTTGGCCATGATACAAGTGCACTGTGGCAGTGCCCCTTGCTCAGGACCCAGCCCTGCAGCCCCTCTGTGTGTGCTCCCTCGTAAGTTCATTTGCTGTTATTACACACACAGGCCTTCCTGTCTGGTCCTTAGAAAAGACGGGCTTCCAAAGCACTGTTGAACACTGAGGATTCTGTTGTTAGTGTGGATGTTCAATGAGTTGTATTTTAAATATCAAAGATTATTAAATAAAGATAATGTCTGCTTTTCTATTTCCTTTTGAATTTGTGTTTATTGTTAATTCATAGCTATTCAAAGTATGATTAGAGCTGAGCTTTGTGGCTTGCATCTGTAATTCCAGCTACCCAGGAGGCAGAAGCAGGAGGATTGCTTGAGCCCAGGAGTTTGAGCCTGCAGTGAGCTATGATCTTGCCACTGTAATTCTAGCCTGGTCGACAAAGCAGGAAAAAAGTGTGGATGGAGGACCAGCAACATCTGTATCACCTGTGAGTTTTTCAGAAATGCAGAGTTTCAGGCCACACTCAGACCTACTGAATCAGAACTTGCACTTTTTGCAAGATCCCCAGGACACTGAAGTGTAGAGTGAAGCTTGAGAAGCACGGTTTTATGGATTGTTCTTAACCAGCTGTGGTGGTGAATATGAGTAACGCAGGCCAGCACAGTCCATTGATATTCTATTCCAGCTTACTGCCTGCCAAAAGGTCCATTATTACTGGATCCCGAGTCTTTTCCAAGAGAAGCTAAGAATTCCAAATTTTTATTTGAAATATATTTTTAAAATGGTTGCTCAATTGGCAGGGTGCCAGTGGCTCACGCCTTTAATCCCAGCACTTTGAGAGGCCGAGGTGGAAGGATCACTTGAGCCCAGGAGTTCGAGACCAGCCTGGGCAACATAAAGAGACCCCATCTCTATTAAAAAAAAAATAGAGACAGAATGCTGCCTTAAAAAAATCATAAATGTTTGCTCAATTGATTTTTAACCCTGAGGGCCAAACAAAGCACATTAGTAGCAATTTTTAAGAGTGCTGTTTTTCCTCATTGTATCTAACTCTGGACACCAGAATCCAAATGTAATGATTGGACTCCACCTAGACTGATTGAGGAATATATTGTCTTCACATTTAGGGTTGTCTATTCATTTTAGCTTTAATTAGGATTGGGCACAAATTTTGAAACATAATATGTTACAGGACAGGGATCCCGATCCAGACCCCAAGAGGGTTCTTGGATCTTGTGCAAGAATGAATTCAGGGCAAGTCCATAAATTGAAAGAATTGAAAGCCAGTTCATTAAGAAAGTAGAGGAATAAAAGAATGGCTACCCCATAGGCAGAGCAGCCCTGAGGGCTGCTGGTTGCCCACCCCGCCCCCCCCCCCCTTTTTTTTTTTTTGAGATAATCTCGCTGTGTTGCCAGGCTGTAGTGCATTGGCATGATCTCAGCTCACTGCAACCTCTGCCTCCTGGGTTCAAGCAATTCTCCTGCCTCAGCCTCCTGAGTAGCTGGGACTACAGGTGTGTGCCACCATGCCCAGCTAATTTTTGTATTTTTAGTAGAGACAGGGTTTCACCATGTTGGCCAGGAAGGTCTCCATCTCTTTACCTTGTGATGCACCTGCCTTGGCCTCCCAAAGTGCTGGGATGAGCCACCTCGCCTGGCTGGTTATTTCTTGAGGATATGCTAAACAAGGGGTGGATTATTCATGCCTCCCCTTTTTAGACCATTTAGGGTAACTTCCCAGCATTGCTATGGCATTTGTCAACTATCATGGTGCTTACGGGAGTGCAGCAGTGAGGAGGACCAGAGGTCATTTCATCGCCATCTTGGCTTTTTCAGCTGGCTTCTTTACTGCAACCTGTTTTACTAGCAAGTTTTTTTATGACCTGTATCTTGTGCAGACCTTCTATTTCATCCTGTGACTTAGAATGCCTTAACCATCTGGGAATGCAGCCCAGTAGGTCTCAGGCTCATTTTACCCAGCCCTTATTCAAGATGGAGTTGCTCTGGTTCAAACGCCTCTGATATTTCCCTACTCCCTTTTATAAGACAACCCTTAATCCTAAGGGTTGCAGAGGGATGAAGATCCATCTTCTGTAACTTCTTCAGGCTGAATAAGGGTGATGATATTCCTGCCTATGAGAGTCTCTTGTATTAGGGTAGAAAGGAGCTCAGTCAGTATGGCTCTCTATCCTTCCTCCCTTCCCCAGCCCCTGACAACTACCATTCTACTTTGTCTCTGTAATTCTAAGTATCTCATATAAGTGGAATCATTCAGTATTTGTAGGGTTTTTTTTGTGACTAGTGTATTTCACTTTGCATGTCAAGGTTCATCCATGTTGTAGCATATGTCCGAATTTTCTTCTTTTTAAAAGCTGAATAATATTCCATTGAATGATATATGCACATTTTGCTTATTCATTTATCCATCAAAGAAAACCAATAGCTTTTTTACATACCAGTAACCTGGTTAAAAAAAATAAGATGGAAAAATACCAAGCCCAAAAATGTCAAATTGTTGAACACCAGAGAGGTACTATAATTCAAGCTGAGCAGAAAGGAATGGCCCTTGTCTCAGCCCTGAGCCACATGTCACTACATGGGCCCCAAGCAGCTCTTCTTGTGCTCAGAGTCCTGCTAAGTCTTGTTCTGCACTCCTCTAAAGTGGCTCAAACTAGCACAGGAGGCCAGGAGGGAGCAGATTCTATGCCACCTCCATTGCTTCTGCGCCTTCTCCAGATCCATTTTTTCCAAAAGCTGTGTTTGAATTCTGCACAGGGGCAGGGGCATCTCTGTCTCCAACACTGAAACCCCTTTTACCAGACCCAGAGAAGACTGCCTTTTTTTTTTTTTTTTTTTTTTTTTTTTTTTTTTTTTTTAAGACGGGACCTCGTTCTGTCGCCTAAGCTGGAGTGCAGTGGCACCATCTCGGCTCACGGCAAACTCTGCCTCCTGGGCTCAAGCAATTCTCCTGCCTCAGCCACCTGAATAGCTGGGATTACAGGTGCGGGCCACCACCTCCAGCTAATTTTGTATTTTTAGAGGTGGGGTTTTGCCATGTTACCCAGGCTGGTTTAGAACTTCTGAGCTCAGGTGATCCACCCGCCTTGGCCTCCCAAAGTGCTGGGATTACAGGCATGAGCCACCTAACCCGGCCAGATTTAACTGCTTTGAACCACCATCTCACACATCTTCCAGGGGCTTCTAGTTAAATACAGAGTATTAATAGTGTATAATTCCATTTATGTAAGATCCTTGGAATAGCCAAACTCACAGAGACAAAAAGTAGAATGGTGGTTGCCGGGGGATGGTAGAGGGGAAAATTGGGAGTCATTTAACGAGTATGGAGTTTCAGTTTAGGAAGATGAAAAAAGTTCTGGAGATGGATAGTTGTGATGGCTGCACAACAATATGAATGTACTTAATGTCGGTGAACCGTATAACCATTTAACAATTGAAAATGGTTATAAAGGTCAATTTTGTGTTATGCATATCTTATCACATAAAAAATACAGAGGACTGATCATTATATTTGCTCCCTTCCAAAATCCCACCTAGGTTAAAGAAAAATATATAAACCCACAAGAACACAGGGACCAGGAGAGGAGATGCATTCATTGGATTAGGTTTGGTTGTAAAACAAAAACAAAAACAACAAAAACAAAAAAAAACACCTGGGCGCGATGGCTCACACCTTGTAATCCCAGCACTTTGGGAGGCTGAGGCAGGCAGATCACAAGGTCAGGAGTTCGAGACCAGCCTGACCAACATAGTAAAACCTCATCTCTACTAAGAATATAAAAACCAGCCAGGTGTGGTGGCATATGCCTGTAATCCCAGCTACTGAAGTTGGCTGAGACAGGAGAATCACTTGAACCAGGGAGGCAGAGGTTGCAGTGAGCTGAGATCGTGTCACTGCACTCCAGACTAGATGACAGAGCAAGACTCCGTCTCAAATGGAAACAAAAACTAATATAACAGTGACTTTACATGCTATGGGTTTTTTTTCTCCTCTCATCTTCAAGAAATGCGGAGACGGCCAGTCCAGGGATGATACAGCATCACAGTGTCAGGAATCTGCTCTTTCTGTATAATTGTTACAGGAAAGGGGTCCCGATCCAGACCCCAAGAGAGGGTTCTTGAATTCAGGCCAAGTCCACAGTGCAAAGTAAAAGCAAGTTTATTAAGAAAGGAATAAAAATTCCCTACTCCATAGACAGAGCTGCCCGGAGGGCTGCTGGTTGCCCATTTTTATGGTTATTTCTTGATGATATGCTAAACAAGGGGTGGATTATTTATGCCTCCCCTTTTTAGACCATATAGGGTAACTTCCTGATATTGCCGTGGCATTCGCAAACTGTCATGGTGCTGGTGGGAGCGTAGCACTGAGGAGGACCAGAAGTCACTCTTGTGTGGCCTTTTTGGTTTGGTGGGTTTTGGCCAGCTCCTTTACTGTAACCTGTTTTAACAGCAAGGACTTTATGACCTGTATTTTATGTTGACCTTGTATCTCATCCTGTGACTTAGAATGCCTTAACCATCTGGGAATACAGCCCAGTAGGTTTCAACCTCATTTTACCCAGCTCCTATTCAAGATGGAGTTGCGGCCCGGCGCGGTGGTTCATGCCTGTAATCCCAGAACTTTGGGAGGTTGAGGTGGGTGGATCACGAGGTCAAGAGTTCAAGACCAGCCTGGTCAACATGGCAAAACCCCGTCTCTACCAAAAATACAAAAATTAGCTGGGCGTGGTTGGCGTGCGCCTGTTATGCCAGCTACTTGGGAGGCTGATGCAGGAGAATCACTTGAACCCAGGAGGCAGTGGAGGTTGCAGTGAGCAGAGATCACGCCATGCACTCCAGCCTGGACGACAGAGCAAGACTGCGTCTTGGGGAGGAAAAAGAAGAAAAGATGGAGTTGCTCTGGTTTACATTCCTCTGACATAATGGCTTTATGTACATGGCTTCCATGGTTAAGGTCAGCTCGTGGATCTGATATGGCTGTGTTGGTGATCATGCCCAGCAATCAGAAAGAGAAGGGAGGCCGGGTTTGGTGGCTCATATCTGTCATCCCAGCACTTCGGGAGGCCAAGGCAGGAGGATCACATGAGCCCATGAGTTTGAGACCAGCTTGAGCAACATAGGGAGACCTCATCTCTACAAGATATAAAAAAAACTGTCGGACATGGTGGCGTGTACCTGTGGTCCCAGATATTCAGGAGGTTGAGGTGAGAGGATACCTGGCACCTGGAGGTTTGAGGCTGCAGTGAGCTATAATCGCGCCACTGCACTCCAGCCTGAGCAACAGAGTGAGACGCCATCTCAAACAATTAAAAAAAAAAAAAAGGAGGGCAGAAAAAGTCTATGTACCTTTTCTTTCAGGTTACCTTCTCAAAGTTGTGCATACCCCTTCCATTTACATTATATTGGCCAGAGCTTAACATGACAACTACTAGCTACAAGGTGGTTTTTATTCTGGGTTGCCATGCATCTTAGCTTGAGTACCCTACAGGCAGATCCTGAGACGAGGATTCCTGTGAAAATGATTATTTACTTATTTAATTAATTTATTTTGAGATGGAGTCTCACTCTGTCACCCAGGCTGGAGATCAGTGGCATGATCTCGGCTCACTGCAACCTCTGCCTCCCAGGTTCAAGCAATTCTCCTGCCTCAGTCTCCCAAATAGCTGGGACTACAGGCATGTGCCACCATGCCCGGCTATTTTTTTTTTTTTTTTTTGTATTTTTAGTAGAGACAGGGTTTCACTATGTTGGCCAGGCTGATCTCAAACTCCTGACCTCAGGTGATCTGCCCGCCTCGGCCTCCCAAAGTGCTGGGATTACAGGCGTGAAACACTGCGCCTGGCCGAAAATGATTTTTTAAAAGTGTTCCAGGAAGAAACGGAAAGGGCATAGGGGAGTAAGAAAGTGGAAAATGGAAAGGAAGGAAGCCAAGCAAGGGGATCCTATCAAGCAAAGCCTCAGTCCTGCAGACAGTTTGGAGGCACGATATTCACATCTTAGAGTTGTCCAAAACAGGACAGGCAAGCTGCAGAATTTTCAACTCTGGCTGAATAAGGTTGCGTTTCAGCTCTCCGGGCACCTGGAAAGTATGGGCTCCAGTAGCCTGGAGGCAGTCTGCTGACAGACACAGGTGCTGGCTGGTGTGCACAAAAGTGGTAAAGGGATGAGCGGGTGCAATAGGGACACTGGCATCTTGGCTGTCATGCATCCAGGTAAAAAGTGGGGGCTCAATTACTATATATGAAAGGGAGAACAGACTTTAAGGAATAATTATCAGTCATTTCCAGGTGAGACAGCAACAGAAGAGAAATGCTAAATTTTCCCTTTTTTGGGGGGATGCGGTGGGGGGACAGAGTTTCGCTCTTGTTGCCCAGGCTGGAGTGCAATGGTGCACTCTCCGGCTCACTGCGACCTCCACCTCCTGGGTTCAAGCGATTCTCCTGCCTCAGCCTCCTGAGCAGCTGGGATTACAGGCATGCACCACCATACCCAGCTAATTTTGTATTTTTAGTAGAGACAGAGTTTCTCCATGTTGGTCAGAGTGGTCTCAAACTCCCAACCTCAGGTGATCCGCCCGCCTTGGCCTCCCAAAGTGCTGGGATTACAGGCATGAGCCACCGCGCCCAGCGAGAGATGCTAACATTTTTTTGTTTTTTGGAAGATGACAAGTTGATGCAAGAATGAGCAGAACCAGGAAGCTGGATACTCAGTGTTTAAGAGTTCCTAGCAATATGCAGGAAAGGAAAGCAACAAGTATCCCGGGAGGTGGGGTTAGATGTAGACTGAAATCAGGAGGTGTGGTTAAAACTCTTTGAAAGAGGCTGGGTGTGGTGGCTCATGTAATTCCAGCACTTTGGGAGGCCAAGGCAGGTGATGACGAGGTCAGGAGTTCGAGACCAGCCTGACCAACATGTGAAACCCCATCTCTACTAAAAATACAAAAATCAGCCAGGCGTGGTGGCGCATGCCTGTAATCCCAGCTACTAAGGAGGTTAAGACAGAAGAATTGCTTGAACCTGGGAGGGGAAGGTTGCAGTGAGCCAAGATCATGCCATTGGACTCCAGCCTGGGCGACAGAGAGACTCCATCTCAAAAAAGAAAGAAAGAAAAAAGAAACAGCAGATTCCCTAGAGAGGAGACATTCATCACTAAAAAAAAAATATATATATATATAGAGAGAGAGAGAGAGAGTTAAAATAATTCGCAGAACTAAAAGACCTTTTTGAATGGGCTCAGGGTGCCCAGCATAATGTACGAAACAAAAGCAAACCCACATCAAAGTACACCATTATTAATTTCAGAGCATCAGAAATAAAGAGAAGATCTGATAAGCTTCTTGGAAGAAAACAAGGCACAGAGAATAATCAGAGGAGAGTAGAGCAGGAAAACGGTCCTGGGTAGAGAGAACTGAGTCTAGCCAATTGATAGAATTCTTGATGTTTTGTTGAAAACAGAAGCACTTTATAATTCTCTGGGTAAGTTTTAGAAAGATTCTGTAGTAATGGTAAATTGTGCAAATTTAAAAAATGGAACCTGTTAATTTCAGGAAGAACAAAAGGTAGAAAAGGCAATATAATCTTGGTACAACATTTGACTCAGCTGCAATGAATAAGACTTACATAGTCATATAAGGTAAGCATTGATTACTTACTTTACCAATAATTATGATATCACCATACTGAAAGCCCAGAAGCAAGGGAAATAAAGGGAAATACCAGAGTGCTAAATCTTTTTTTTTTTCCGTAAGTTGGTAATGTATAAAATAATAAAATGACAATCATAAGCCTAATGCTTAGAAATTCAGAAAAATATCAGACTAAATTTTAAAGTCTACTTTAAAACTGAGTTTTTGCTTTATAGTTTCATAAATAAATTCATTTTGATGGTTTTCTCAGAACAGATGAACTGGCTGAGTAAAGTGGTTCATGCCTGTAACCCTATCACTTTGGGAGGCCAAGGCGGATGGATCACTTGAGGTCAGGAGTTCCAGACCAGCCAAAAAATTAGCTGGGCGCAGTGGTGCACACTTGTAATCCCAGCTACTCAGTAGGCTAAGGCAGGAGAATCACTTGAACCTGGAAGGCGAAGGTTGCAGTGAGCTGAAATCGAACAACTGCACTCCAGCCCGGGCGACAGAGTGAGACTCCATCTCAAAACAAAAAACAAAAAACAGATGAATTGTTTTTCCTTAAGGAATACTGATGATCCCACTGCTTGAGTAATGGAAAGCAGCTTGCAGCTAATAAGTTATTTTTTGTCTTTTTTCCTGTTCTATCCATTGTCCTGGGTTTGAAATTTCAGCTGGGCAGCTTTGATCCCACCACCTGTAGCCACTGAGGTTCATAGGCTGTTTGAGATATGTTCAATTGTGCTGGGTTTGTTTTGCTGCTTAATGAGTGATGAAGAGCAATGTATTCGCTACTGAGATATTTTGCAGAAAAAGGAAGAGATGTCTTCAGCTCAAATGCTATCAAACTTGTATGTCTTTTAACTTTTTATTATAAAAATTTCAAACATATGCAAAAGCAAAAGACTTGTTCAATGAACCTTATGTACCCACCACCCAGCTTCAACAATTATCAGTTCCTGACAATTCTTGTTTCACCTACCCCACCTCTATTATACACACATACAAACACACACACAGACACACACACACACGGGAGCAAAGTCAACTTCCATTATTTTGAAGCACATCCAAGACATCACATCGCATTATTTATCACATTATTTATTAAGTTTCTTGGGTCATAGTCTATCTCACAGAAAGAAATCCCCCATGAGAAACTTTTAGGACATAGCTTTTATGTTAATTACTTAATTTCTGCACTAGCCATCCTTGCCTTCCTTCTAATTTTCTGCACTAGCTATCCTTACCTTCCTTCTAATTTACTAACCTGCCAAGGATTCTCCTGCCTCAAAGTATTTGCATCAGCTGTTTCTTTCTGCCTGGATTGCTCTTTCCCAGATACTTACATGTCTCATTCTTTTTCACCCAGGTGAAATAAACAGCCTTGTTGCTCACACAAAGCCTGTTTGGTGGTCTCTTCACATGGATGTGTGTGACATTTGGTGCCGACAACCTGACAGGAGGACTCCTCTGGGAGACCGGTCCCCTGTCCTCGCCCTCACTCCATGAGGAGATCCACTTGCGACCTTGGGTCCTCAGACCAACCAGCCCAAGGAACAGCTCATGAATTTCAAATCAGGTAAGCGGTCTTTTCCAGCCTCTCTTGCTACCCTTCAATCTCCCTCTCTTGCTACCCTTCAGTCTCCCTGTCCTTCCAATTCCAGTTCTTTTTCCTCTCTAGTAGAGACAACAGAGACACATTTTATCCATGGACCCAAAATTCTGGCGCTGGTCACAGACTCGGGAAGACAGTCTTCCCTTGGTGTTTAATCACTGTGGGGACACCTGCCTGATTTTTCGCTCACACTCCATTGGTGACTGATCATCGGGGGGCACCTGCCTTGGTCATTCACCCACATTCCCTTGGTGGCAAGTCAATTGCGGGGACGCCTGCTTTGGCTGCTCACCCACCCCCTTTTCTGTGTCTCTACCTTTCTCTTTAAACTTACCTCCTTCACTATGGGCAACCTTCCGCCCGCCATTCCCCCTTCTTCTCCCTTAGCCTGTGTTCTCAAGAACTTAAAACCTCTTCAACTCACACCTGACCTAAAACTTAAAAGTCTTATTTTCTTCTGCAATACTGCTTGACCCTAATACAAACTCGACAGTAGTTCCAAGTGGCCAGAGAATGGCACGTTCAATTTGTCTGTCCTACAGGATCTAGATAATTTTTGTTGAAAAATGGGCAAATGGTCTAAGGTGCCTGACGTCCACACATTCTTTTACACATTGGTCCCTCCCTAGTCTCTGCTCCCAATGTGACTCGTTCCGAATCTTTCTTCTTTCTCTCCTGTCTCTTCCTTCAGTCTCCACCCCAAGCTCTGAGTCCTTTGCGTCCTCCTTTTCTACGGATTCATCTGACCTCTCCCCTCTTCCCCAGGCTGCTCCTCGCTAGGCTGACCCAGGTCCCAATTCTTCCTCAGCCTCCACTCCCCCACCCTATAATCCTTTTATCACCCCCTCCTAACATCCCATCTGGCTTACAGTTTCTTTCCTTGACTAGCCCTCCCCCACTTGCCCAACAATTTCCTCTTAAAGAGGTGGCTGGAGCTGAAGGCATAGCCAAGGTTAATGCTCCTTTTTCTTTATCCGACCTCTCCCAAATCAGTTAGCGTTTAGACTCTTTTTCATCAAATATAAAAACTCAACCCTGTTCATGGCCTGTTTGGCAACAACCCTTAGATGCTTTACCACCCTAGACCCAGAAGGGCCAGAAGGCCGTCTTATTCTCAACATGCATTTTATTACCCAACCCACTCCCGACATTAGAAAAAGCTCCAAAAAATTAGATTCTGGCCCTCAATCCCCACAACATGACTTAATTAACCTTGCCTTCAAGGTGTACAATAACAGAGTAGAGGCAGCCAAGTAGCAACATATTTCTGAGTTGCAATTCCTTGCCTCCACTGTGAGACAAACCCCAGCCACATCTCCAGCACACAAGACCTTCCAAATGCCTGGACCGCAGTGGTCAGGCATTCCTCCAGGACCGCCTACCCCAGGATCTTGCTTCAAGTGCCAGAAATCTGGCCACTGGGCCAAGGAATGCCCGCAGCCCAGGATTCCTCCTAAGCCATGTCCCATCTGTGCAGGACTCCAGTGGAAATCGGACTGTCCAACCTGGCAGATACTCCCAGAGCCCCTGGAACTCTGGCCCAAGGCTCTCTGACTGACTCTTTCCCAGATCTTCTCGGCTTAGCAGCTGAAGACCGACACTGCTCGATTGCCTCAGAAGCCCCCTGGACCATCACAGATGCTGAGCTTTGGGTAACTCTTACAGTGGAGGGTAAGTCCATCCCCTGTTTAACTGATATGGGGGCTACCCACTCCACATTACCTTCTCTTTAAGGGCCTGTTTCCCTTGCCTCCATAACTGTTGTGGGTATTGACAGCCAAGCTTCAAAACCCTTTAAAACTCCCCCACTCTGGTGCCAACTTGGACAACATTCTTTTATGCACTCTTTTTTAGTTATCCCCACATGCCCAGTTCCCTTATTAGGCTGAGACATTTTAACCTAGTTATCTGCTTCCCTGATTATTCCTGGACTACAGCCACATCTCATTGCCAACCTTCTTCCCAACCCAAAGCCTCCTTTGCGTCTTCCTCTCTTATCCCCCCACCTTAACCCACAATGGGACACCTCCACTCCCTCCCTGGCAACTGATCAAACACCCATTACTATCCCATTAAAACCTAATCACCCTTACCCGGCTCAACGCCAGTATCCCATCCCACAACAGGCTTTAAGGGGATTGAAGTCTGTTATCACTCGCCTGCTACAGCACGGGCTTCTAAAACCTATAAACTCTTCTTAAAATTCTCCCATTTTACCTGTTCAAAAACCAGACAAGTCTTACAGGTTAATTCAGGATCTGGGCCTTATCAACCAAATTGTTTTGCCTATCTACCCTGTGGTGCCCAACCCCGTACACTCTTTTGTCCTCAGTACCTTCCTCCACAACTCACTATTCCATTCTTGATCTTAAAGATGCTTTTTTCACTATTCCCCTACACCCCTTGTCCCAGCCTCTCTTTGCTTTTACCTGAACTGACCCTGACACCCATCAGTCTCAGCAGCTTACCTGGGCTGTACTGCCACAAGGCTTCAGGGACAGCCCTCATTACTTCAGCCAAGCTCTTTCTCATGATTTACTTTCCACTCCTTCGCTTCTCACCTTATTCAATATAGTGATGACGTTCAACTTTGTAGCCCCTCCTTTGAATCTTCTCAACAAAACACCCTCCTGCTCCTTCAACATTTATTCTCCAAGGGATATAAGGTATCTCCCTCCAAAGCTCAAATTTCTTCTCCATCCGTTATCTACCTCGGCATAATTCTTCATAAAAACATACATGCTGTCCCTGCCTATCATGTCCAACTGATCTCTCAAACCCCAACCCCTTCTACAAAACAACAACTCCTTTCCTTCCTGGGCATGGTTGGATATTTTTGCCTTTGGAAACCTGGTTGTGCCATCCTAACAAAACCATTATATAAACTCACAGAAGCAAACCTAGCTGACCCCATAAATCCTATGTCCTTTCCCCACTTCCCTTTCCATTCCTTAAAAAACAGCCCTAAAAGCTGCTCCCACACTAGTTCTCCCTAACTCATCCCAACTCTTTTTTCATTACACACAGCCGAAGTGCAGGGCTGTGTGGTCGGAATTCTTACACAAGAGCCAGGACTGTGCCTTGTAGTCTTTCTGTCCAAACAACTTGACCTTACTGTTTTAGGCTAGCCCCCACATTATTCCTGATACCACACCTGATCCCCATGACTGTATCTCTCTAATCCACCTGGCATTCACTCCATTTCCCCGTATTTCCTTCTTTCCTGTTCCTCACCCTGATCACACTTGGTTTACTGATGGCAGGCCTAATTGCCATTCACCAGCAAAGGCAGGCTATGCTATAGTAGTATCTTCCACATCTATCCTTGAGGCTACCGCTCTGCCCCCCTCCACTGCCTCTCAGCAAGCCGAACTCATTGCCTTAACTCAAGCCCTCACTCGTGCAAAAGGACTACCTGTCAATATAAACTGACTCTAAATATGCCTTCCATATCCTGCACCACAATGCTGTTATATGGGCAGAAAGAGGTTTCCTCACTACGCAAGGGTCCTCCATCATTAATGCCTCTTTAATAAAAACTCTTCTCAAGGCTGCTTTACTTCCAAAGGAAGCTGGAGTCGTTCACTACAGGGGCCATCAAAAGGCATCAGATCCTATTGCTCTGGGCAACGCTTATGCTGATAAGGCAGCTAAAGCAGCAGCTAGCGTTCCAACTTCTGTCCCTCATGGCCAGTTTTTCTCCTTCTCATCAGTCACTCCCACCTACTCACAGACTGAAACTTCCACCTATCAATCTCTTCCCACATAACGCAAATGGTTCTTAGACCAAGGAAAATATCTCCTTCCAACCTCACTGGCCCATTCTATTCTATTGTCGTTTCATAACCTCTTCCATGTACGTTAAAAGCTGCTAGCCCGTCTCTTAGAACCTCTCATTTCCTTTCCAACGTGGAAATCTATCCTCAAGGAAATCACTTCTCAGTGTTCCATCTGCTGTTCTACTACTCCTCAGGGATTATTCAGGCCCCCTGCCTTCCCTACACATCAAGCTCGGGGATTTGCCCCTGCCCAGGACTGGCAAATTGACTTTACTCACATGTCCCGAGTCAGGAAACTAAAATACCTCTTGGTCTGGGTAGACACTTTCACTTGATGAGTAGAGGCCTTTCCCACAGGGTCTGAGAAGGCCACGTGGTCATTTCTTCCCTTCTGTCAGACATAATTCCTCAGTTTGGCCTTCCCACCTCTATACAGTCCAATAATGGACCAGCCTTTACTAGTCAAATCGCCCAAGCAGTTTCTCAGGCTCTTGGTATTCAGTGGAAACTTCATACCCCTTACTGTCCTCAATCATCAGGAAACGTAGAACGGACTAATGGTCTTTTAAAGACACACCTCACCAAGCTCAGCCTCCAACTTTAAAAGGACTGGACAGTATTTTTACCTCTTGCCCTTCTCAGAATTAGAGCCTGTCCTCAAGATGTTACAGGGTACAGTCGATTTGAACTTTTAAATGGATGCAGTTTCTTGCTCGGCCCCAACCTTGTCCCAGACACCAGCCCTCTAGGTGACAATCTTCTAGTCCTCCAGCAGGCTAGACAGGAAATTCACCAGGCTGCTAATCTTCTCTTGCCTACTCGAGATTCCCAGCCATATGAAGACACTCTAGCTGGATGATCAGTTCTTGTTAAAAACCTGATCCCTCACACGCTACAACCTCAATGGACCAAACCGTACTTAGTCATCTATAGCACCCCAACTGCCATCCACCTGCAGGATCCTCCCACTGGGTTCACCGTTCCAGAATAAAGCTGTATTTGTCAGACAGCCAGCCTAATCCCTCCTCCTCCTCTTGGAAGTCGCAAACACTCCCCTACTTCCGTTAAACTCACTTGCATTTCTGAAGAACAGTAATAACCCTCATGAGCCTAATACATCTCTTCATTCTATTAGGTCTGTTCGTCCTTACCCTACTTTTTGCAACAGGGCTTTACACAGTCACCCTCACTATTTGGACTGTGCCCCAAAAACTTGTCATCCCTACTATCTTCTGTCTAGTCATACTCCTATTCACCATTCTCAATTACTCATAAATGCCCTGCTTTTGTTTACACTGCCCGTTTACAGTTTCTCTAAGCCATCACAGCTGATATCTCCTGGTGCTATCCCCAAACTGCCACTCTTAACTCCCTCTTAGAGTGGATAGATGATCTTTGCTGGCAGGGCACCCTCCAATACTTCCACCCTGATGAAGCTCTATTCCTTACTTTTATACTCACTCTTATTCTCATTCCCATCCTTATGCCACCCTCTACCTCTCCCCAGCTATCTCCACCATACTATCAATCTTACTCACTCTCTCCTAGCCGTTTCTAATTCCTCCTTAGCGAACAATTGCTGGCTTTGCATTTCCCTTTCTTCTTGTGCCTACACAGCTGTCCCCACCTTACATACAGACTGGTCAACATCTCCTGTCTCCGTACACCTCCGAACTTCCTTTAACAGCCCTCACCTTTACCCTCCTAAAGAATTTCTTTACTTTCTAGACAGGTCCAGCAAGACCTCCCCAGACATTTCACATGAGCAAGCTGCTGCCATCCTCCACACTTTCTTAAAAAACCTTTCTCCTTCTATCAACTCTACTCCCCCCATATTTGGACCCCTCACAACACAAACTACTATTCCTGTGGCCGCTCCTTTATGTATCTCTCGGGAAAGACCCACTGGAATTCCCCTGGGTAACCTTTCACCTTCTCGATGTTCCTTCACTCTTTATCTCCAAAGTCCAACTACACGCATCACTGAAACAATTGGAGCCTTCCAGCTCCATATTACAGATAAGCCCTCTATCAATACACGCAAACTTGAAAACATTAGCAGTAATTACTGCTTAGGAAGACACTTACCCTGTATTTCACTCCATCCTTGGCTACCTTCCCCTTGCTCATGAGACTGTCCTCCCAGGCCTTCTTCTTGTTTACTTATACCCAGCCCCAGAAATAACACTGAAAGGTTGCTCGTAGACACTCAACGTTTTCTCATACACCATGAAAATTGAACCTCCCCCTCTACACAGTTACTGCGTCAGTCCCCATTACAACCTCTGATGGCTGCCGCCCTAGCTGGAGCCCTAGGAGTCTGGGTAAAACACAACCCTTTCAGCACTCCTTCTCATCTTTTTACTTTGCATTTCCAGTTTTGCCTTGCACAAGGCTTTTTCTTCCTCTGTGGATCCTCTACCTACATGTGTCTACCTGCTAATTGGACAGGCACATGTACACTAGTTTTCCTTACTCCCAAAATTCAATTTGCAAATGGAACTGAAGAGCTTCCTGTTCCCCTTATGATAAGATTGATAGTATGGTGGAGATAGCTGGGGAGAGGTAGAGGGTGGCATAAACTTCCTCTTCCCCTTATGACACTGATACGACAAAAAAAGAGTTATTCCACTAATTCCCTTGCTTGTCGGTTTAGGACTTTCTACCTCCACTATTGCTCTCAGTACTGGAATAGCAGGCATTTCAACCTCTGTCACAACCTTCCATAGCCTCTCTAATGACTTCTCTGCTAGCATCACAGACATATCACAAACTTTATCAGTCCTTCAGGCCCAAGTTGACTCTCTAGCTGCAGTTGTCCTCCAAACCGCCAAGGCCTTGACTTACTGCTGAAAAAGGAGGGCTCTGTATATTTTTAAATGAAGAGTGTTGTTTTTACCTAAATCAATCTGGCCTGGTGTATGACAACATAAAAAAACTCAGTAATAGAGCCCAAAAACTTGCCAACCAATTATACTGAACCCCCTTAGGCACTCTCTAATTGGATGTCCTGGGTCCTCCCTATTCTTAGTCCTTTAATACCTGTTTTTCTCCTTCTCTTATTTGGACCTTGTGTCTTCCGTTTAGTTTCTCAATTCATACAAAACCACATCCAGGCCATCACCAATCATTCTATATGATAAATGCTCCTTCTAACAACCCCACAATATCACCCCTTACCACAAAATTTTCCTTCAGCTTAATCTCTCCCACTTTAGGTTCCCACGCCGCCCCTAATCCCACTTGAAGCAGCCCTGAAAAGCATCGCCCATTATCTCTCCATACCACCCCACAAAATTTTCACTGCCCCAACACTTCAACACTATTTTATTTTTCTTATTAATATAAGAAGACAGGAATGTCTGGCCTCTGAGCCCAAGCCTGCGCATATATACATCCAGATGGCCTGAAGCAACTGAAGAATCACAAAAGAAGTGAAAATGGCTGGTTCCCGCCTTAACTGATGACATTACCTTTTGAAATTCCTTCTCCTGGCTCAGAAGCTCCCACACCCAGCACCTTGTGACCTCCACCCCTGCCCACCAGAGAACAACCCCCTTTTACTGTAATTTTCCAATACCTACCTAAATCCTATAAAACTGCCCCACCCTTAGCTCCCTTTGCTGACTCTCTTTTCGGACTCAGCCCACCTCCACCTAGGTGAAATAAACAGCTTTATTGCTCACACAAAGCCTGTTTGGTGGTCTCTTCACATGGACGCGTGTGACAAGTGCCTGCCACCACACCTGGCTAATTTTTGTATTTTTAGTAGAGATGGGGTTTCACCATGTTGGCCAGTCTGGTCTTGAAGGCCTGACCTCAGGTGATGCGCCTGCCTTGGCCTCCCAAGGTGCTGGGGATTACAGGGGATTACAGGGGATTACAGTCGTAAGCCACTGCCCCCGGCCCTGCTTTTTTTTTTTTTTTTTAAACATCCAGGAGTCACACTGGATATCTGAATGTGCTTAAAATAAAATTTACATCTCATTCTTTAAGTGTTTATTAAATGCTTTCCCTGCATTCATGTGAACATCATAGCCCAGTGGTTAGATGTGCAGACTCCGAAGCCTGACTGCCTGGGTCTGTCACTTATTAGCTGTATGACCTTGGATGGGTTACTTAACATTTCTGGGCACTGGTTTCTCATTAGTAAAATGAAGAATGGGCGCCTGTAGTCCCAGCTACTTCGGAGGCTGAGGCAGGAGAATCGCTTGAACCCAGGAGGCGGAGGTTGCAGTGAGCCGAGATCTCGCCACTGCACTCCAGCCTGGGTCACAGAGCGAGGCTCCATATCAAAAAAAAAAAAAAAAAAAAAAAAAAAAAAATTCAGCTTTCAGGGAGAACTACTATTGCCTGGTGCTATCAGATCTCAAATACTGGAGGCATTCCCAATGTTCTGTTCACAAACTGTGCAATCTGCAGTAGCCCCTCTTGTGAATACAATCAAAGTGAAAGATGCCAGTATACCTATTGCTATGCTTAAAAGAACTGCAGATTTATATCCTTTTGAAACCAAAAATGTGGAAGTCTCCCTGGTTAGATGCTGTGTGTCCACGTATCCTGCACCAATTGCTTGAAAGTCACATGACAATTTTTCTTCCTTTAGGGAAGGAAGCAAGCAAGGCAGGACACTGTGTTACAGCCACAGTGTGGCTAACAGGACTGAGGGAGGTGTAGCACTTGCATAGCGAGTGCCGCCAATACCATAGGAGCGTTGACACTAAATGGCACTTCTCTATTAAGTTGCCCTGCTGTCCTTTAAAGAGTCATTTTGAAAAACGGTTGACCGTTTTTTAACTACTTGGGTGAGGGCAGCTTCACGGAAATAGCTCATCCTATGTTAAAGAAGGTAGGGTTTCAACTGTGAGCTATAAAGGCACCAGAGATTTCTCCTATAGAAGGAAAGTGTGTTTCCTGCTTGGACACCTGAATTTTCAACCCATCCTTTTTTTTCCTTTTCTTTCTTTCTTTTTTCTTTTTCTTTCTTTCTTTTTTTTTTTTTTTTTTTTTTTTTTTTTTTTTTTGTAACCCGTCCGTTCTATCTTTGCAGCCTCAGTTCCTACCATAGTGCCTGTCACGGAGCAGCTAATCGATACAGTGAGGCGTATAAGTTATTTGAAGCCGCTTCCTGCGCAATGGAAAGTCCCCGCCAAGTCTCCAGGCACCGCTGGAGGTAGTCCCAGTTAAAACATTAGGTTTCAACAACACAAGGAGGGTTCGCAGGGTCCCCCGACTACCCACCAAGGGTCGGCTCTGGTTTGAAACGCAGCTGCAGGAGTCCGAGAAGCGCCGCGATGCCCCAGTTATCCAGGCCATTCCTACCCCGGCCAAAGCCGGCCGGCTGCGTGTACCTAACCTTGCGCTAGGCGCTAGCGGCAGTCAATCCAACAGGCGCGCGGTCCTCCGCGATCCCAGCCTCCCTTGCGCCACGGACACGTCCGGCGGCTTCGCGGGGCCTGTCTACGCCACCGCGACGCCTTTCTATGATCCGCTGCCGCTTTCCGAGCGAGTGTCATGGCGGCCGGCGTCGAGTTGGCAGGAGTAGCCCACGGAACTGGGGAAACTCACTAGAGCTGAGGAAGAAGTGGCCCAATCTGGACGGCGGGAATGAGCAGAAGGCCCTCCGTGGGTGACTGTGTCACTAGAGGCGGGACCCTGGTAAAATTCCAGACCAGGCCTCTGCGTTGCTAGGCAGAACCTGGAGCCGGCCTTGCTTGAGAACCCCGCTTTGTGATATCGTATCCTGTCTCGCGAAGGCAGGCGTTCAAGGATATTTGGTCCGATCGTCCGACGGCGCTAAACTTTTTTTTTTTTTTTCTCCCGAGCGGACCAGGTCGTTCTCTAAACTCGCTGCGATGTCGTCCTGGCTTGGGGGCCTCGGCTCCGGATTGGGCCAGTCTCTGGGTCATGTCGGGGGCAGCCTGGCTTCCCTCACTGGCCAGATTTCAAACTTTACAAAGGATATGCTGATGGAGGGCACGGAGGAAGTGGAAGGTAACAGCTGGAGCGAGGGAAGGGAGGGCTTTTCTAAGACCCTGGGAACGTCCGTTTGGTCCCTACTTCCATCAGTCAGGAGACGCGGACAGGTCGCCAAGGAATGCTGCTCCTCCCTTTTTTCTTCACACACCTCCTCTTGCCTCTTCTCAACAGATTTTCTATGATGAAAGACCACTGGGGGCCAGGGGAAGACTCCTGGTTCTCCTCCTTTAAATATTCTGGATATCTCAAAGTACAGTAGAGTGAAACTGCTCCTACGTTATGTCGAATTTATTTTTGTTTGGTTTATCCACGCCCACCACTTTGCCCTCAGTTTGGGGTCTGAGCTCATTCTTACTTCCCTGTATTCTGACACAGTTTAAAGAATTGTGTATGTGTTCTATTTTTGTAACAGTTGAAATAACTCATAATTTAAACATTCGGTGAGTTTTGCTCTTTTCTGTCTTGAGTATGTTATGAAACACGTCCATATTTTTCCATTTAATTATTTTTTACTTTTCCTTATTGTGATGATACATTGTAGCGTTCCAGCTGAGAATGTATTTTTGTGTATAGTCGCTCATTTCGTCCGTATTTCGACAGTAGACTAGGGAAGACAACCCTATTATTAAGGTACCCTTAGCAATCTTCACTCATTTTTGAAGTCCTCAATCTTGTTAGTAAAACAAGATTGAGTCACACACAATAGTGACCCAGAGTTACATGGTAATCAATGGCTACATTAATTACTATCCATTAATTACTATTTTGATTTCTTGGCATTTCAGTAAGCAATGTTTGGATCGAAACAGTTTTTAAGTTTCAATCTAAGTCTGCTCCAGGGAGATAATGGACTGTTCTTCTGGGTGAGAGCTGCTGCTTTGACAATTGTATTTCTTATAAATAAATTTAATAAATTAGTATTCTGGCTTAGTTTTGTTTAATTGCTTATTTAACAGGTCCTTCATATTTATTTGGTTGAAATCGGGAAAGATGGTTTGATAGAAAGATAATGCTTATGTTTTGAGTTTCTGTGGGTCTATTTAGATGGAAGGAAGAATAGACTGGGGAGTTACCGAAATCCACTTTACCGCTTGAGGTTCCCCATGCCATAAAGGTGCATCAGTGAGACAGGTTTGGGTATAGAAATGAAAGGGCGTCTTTATGTGTTGGGGAAAGCATGGGACCTTGAGGGCAGTCAGAAGCACAGAAGAGCTGGATAACTATGGGAAATGACTAGTTGCTCCTTATATCCTAGATAGGGGAAAACGGTTGGCTGTTCCTTTGACCCTAAGCCAGAGAATGTGCATCCCTCAACCTGGATGTCTTCCAGGTTTAAGGTGGTATTCATTTTGTTTTCCTGCCAAATGTGCTATTTTCTCAATCTTAATGGCTTCATTCTCAGTTTCCTAAACTGTAACTCTTCATGTCTTTGTTTTATGTCTTTTTTCATCTCCTACTTCCAGTTGGTCATGAAATCTTGTTTATCCTATGCCAGAATTGTCCGTTCCTTTATTACTCCTTATTCTTTTGATCCCTATAATCTTTCCCAGGGACTATTCGTCTTTCATGTCCTGTCACCCATTTCTCCCTACTCCAGTCCATTTTCAATTGTATTGTCAGTTACTTTTTAAAAACAAACCTGCTTAAAAATTTCTTGACCCTGTTACAGAACAAAATCCAAACCTCTCAGTTTTGGATGGAATCTCACTCTGTTGCGTAGGCTGGATGCAGTGGCATGATCTTGGCTCACTGCAACCTTCGCCTCCTGGGTTCAAGCAATTCTCCTACCTGAGCCTCCCAAGTAGCTGGGATTACAGGCGTGTGCCACCACACCCAGCTAATTTTTGTGTTTTTAGTAGAGATGAGGTTTCACCATGTTGGCCAGGCTGGTCTTGAACTCCTGAGACCTCAGGTGATCCTCCCGCCTCGGCCTCCCAGAGTGCTGGGATTACAGGCATGAGCCACTGTGACTGACCTTCAGTGAACCTCTTCTAGTTGCCATACCAGTTGCTGTACATGTGCACATACATAAGCTTGCTTATACGCACAGCTTCTGTCATGTGGGATTTTGTCAGGCACCTACACAACTTCAAGCCTCTGTATGGAAAGCCCTTTCTTCTCTATTTCCTCCTTCACCCAGAAAACAATTTTCCTGTACAACCCTGCTCACATGTCAGGTACTTAAGTATTTGGTGAACCATTCTGACTCCCACACAGGTTGAGTTGTTGAGTTGAATTTGGTGATCTGTGTTCTAACAGAACTTTGTGGATCTCTCTCTGACAGCATTTAACATGTTGAGTTATAGTTTATCTGTTTTCCTGATGCCCAGGGTGGGGACTGAATTTTTTTGCTCTTTATATTCCCAAATATGTGGCACCTTGCTTTTGGCACATAGTAGATGCTTATTAATAAAAATGGCATAAGTGGGTGATGAGAAATCTGCAAAGTTGCTTAATGCCTTTATTCTTTTCCCTTTGTATTTCAGTGAGACTTGCTTAACACCTAATTTATTGATTTTGTAAATTTTTAAAAATAGGAGTCTGGCCGGGTGTGGTGGTTCACACCTGTAATCTCAGCTCTTTGGTAGGCCCAAGTGGGAGGATAGCTTAAAGCCAGGAGTTGGGGACCAGCCTGGGCAACGTATGATTTTGTAGAGATCTCATCTCTACAAAAAGTTTTTAGCTGGGCATGGTGGTATGCGCCTATAGTCTCACCTACTTGGGAGGTGAGATGGGAGGTTTGCTTGAGCCCAGGAGTTCAAGGCTCCAGTGAGCTGTGATTGCACCACTGAACTCCAGCCTGGGTGACAGAGATGACCCTGTCTCAAAAAAATAAAGGGAAAGGAGGGTCAGACTACAGTTCTTTTATTCATTCAACAAGTATTTATTAGTGTTTACCCTGTGTCAGTAATGCAAAATAAAACAGTTCCAAAATAGCACTATGGAGACAACTTAAAAGCCATCCATATTTGTAATATCAGAAGGTTGCAATTTTACCTAACACTACTGATTTATTCAAGGTTAGGAGCTTGGGCTTTTAAATCAGAGAGACATGGGTTGAAATTCTGCTTTTGTGCATTACAAGTTGTGGGATTTTGGGCAAATTATTAGAAATGAACCTCCAAAAAGCACAGTTTCCTTATCTTTTAAACAGGGATAATCATATCTATTGTGAGGTTGAGAGTATTAAATGAAATCATGAGTGCAAAATGACTGGAATTGTGCCTAGCAAATCGTAAACATTAATGAAGGGTAAATGTCATATTTGCCCTCATTGACAAAGTCAGAATATTTTTGTCTGCATAATATCTCCCCTTTATACCTAAAAAGGCCAAGTTTTTCTTGTGGGGGAGGGTATGAAGTTTGCATGAACTTGTAAAATCCGTCTTTAAAATAGTTGCTGCTTTTAACAATTACCTTCCTAAACAAATTAGATTATACCTTGTCCTCTTCAGAGTAGCAATTAAACAGTCCTTTCATACTTTCAAGCAAGACGTACAACCAACCACAGATGTAACCCTCCCTGGTGATTTTCTAAACAAGAGTGTTTGTCACTGTAATTATTGCATGCTTCTTTTGATTTAAACCAAGCTTCTCCAACCTGTGGTCTGCAGGCCACATGTGGCCTAGGATGGGTTTTGAATGAGACCCAACACAAATTCACAAACTTGCTTAAAATATTATGAGTTTTGGCCGGGCGCGGTGGCTTAAGCCTGTAATCCCAGCACTTTGGGAGGCCGAGATGGGCGGATCACGAGGTCAGCAGATCGAGACCATCCTGGCTAACACGGTGAAACCCCGTCTCTACTAAAAAATACAAAAAACTAGCCGGGTGAGGTGGCGAGCGTCTGTAGTCCCAGCTACTCGGGAGGCTGAGGCAGGAGAATGGCATAAACCCGGGAGGCGGAGCTTGCAGTGAGCTGAGATCCGGCCACTGCACTCCAGCCTGGGCGACAGAACGAGACTCCGTCCCAAAAAAAAAAAATATTATGAGTTTTTCTGGCTGGGCGCGGTGGCTCACGCTTGTAATCCCAGCACTTTGGGAGGCCGAGGAGGACCTCAGGATCACCTGAGGTCTGGAGTTTAAGGCCAGCATGGCCAACATGGTGAAACCTCGTCTCTTTAGTAAAAGATACAAAAATTAGCTGGGCGTGGTGGCACAGGCATATAGTCCCAGCTACTGGGGAGGCTGAGTTGGGAGAATCACTTGAACCCAGGAGGTGGAGGTTGCAGTGAGCTGGGATTGTACCACTACACTCCAGCCTGGGCGACAGAGGGACACTCTGTCTCAAAAAAAAAAGAAAGAGTTTTTTTTGCGTTTTTTTTTTTTTTTTAAAGCTCATTAGCGATTGTTAGCGTTAGTGTATTTTATGTATGGCCCAAGACAGTTCTTCCAGTATGGCCCAGGGAAACCAAAAAATTGGAAACTCTTAATAAACTGTAGTCCAGAGAAGTTATTTTTATATTAAGGAGCTGTGAGTAATGAAAAAAATACTAGTACCTAGGAAAAAAAATCTAACTCTGGATGATGATTTTCTTTTCTTTTTTTTTGTTGTTGAGACCAAGTCTTGTTCTGTCGCCCAGACTGGAGTGCAGTGGCACAATCTCGGCTCACTGCAGTTTCTGCCTCCCCGGTTCAGGCAATTTCTCCTGCCTCACCTCCTAAGTAGCTGGGATTGCAGATTACAGGCACCCTCCACCATGACTGACCAGTTTTTTTGTATTTTTAGTAGAGATGGGGTTTTGCCATATTGGCCAGGGTTGTCCTTGAACTCCTGACCAAGTGATCCACCTGCCTCGGCCTCCCAAAGTGCTGGGATTACAGGTGTGAGCCACCGAGAGCAGCCGGATGATGATTTTCTACTAGCATTTGTGGTTACCATGTTGATATTGCTGGGCTCTGTCTCTACTTTAAATGAAAATATACAAAACCAAGGGCCATGCATGGTGACTCACACCTGTAATCCCAGCACTTTGGGAGGCTGAGTGTGGAGGACTGCCTAAGGCTAGGAGTTCGAGACCTGCCTGGGCAACATAGTGAAACCTCATCTCTCCAAAAAAGTAAAAAAATTAGGTAGGTGTGGTCACATGTGCCTGTAATTCCAACTACTTGGAAGGCTGAAGCGAGAGAATTTGAGGCTACAGTGAGCCATGATCACACCATTATACTCCAGCCTAGGTGGCAGAGTGAAGTGAGACTTTCTCCGAGAAAATTAAAAAATGAAAATGTACAAAACCAGACTGAGCTCATTCACATTTTTAATAAATTGCGTCTATGTTACTTTAAGTGTTCTCAGTATATTTTTCTTAGTTTAGAGGTCATTATTTGATAGTATTAAGAGCAGAAGTTAGTGACAGAGCAGGTACACTGTTATCTCAGACAAATACTGCCACTTTTAAGTTCCAGCTCCCCTTCTTTTTTTGGAGACGGAGTCTTACTCTGTCGCCCAGGCTGGAGTGCAGTGGGGCAACGTCGACTCACTGCAACCTCCACCTCCCAGGTTCAAGTGATTCTTCTACCTCAGCCTCCTGAGTAGCTAGGATTATAGGCATGTGCCACCATACCTGGCTAATTTTTGTATTTTCAGTAGAGATGAGATTTTACCTGTTGGCCAGGCTGGTCTCAAACTCCCGATCTCATGTGATCCGCCCACTTGGGCCTCCCAAAGTGCTGGGATTACAGGCGTGAGCCACCGCACCTGACCTCTAGCTCTCTTTCTAGCCTCATGCATTTCAAGGAAGTCACTTCTAACTACAAGCAGCCAGAAAAAGCAGACAGTAAAACACATACAGAGGGGGTACTCGAGCACAAAAGGAGGTGGGGGGAAGTCTCTTGGATAACTGCCAAACTTCACTCTCATACAATGGGCCCCACTAAAGCAGTGGGCCTTAATAAGCACTTTCATTTCCCTTCAGGTGCACTAACATAG